TTTCCCTTCTCGCGTTTCGCAAATCGCGTCTAGAACAGCCAACGCTTTCTCGCACAAGCTTTTCTCTGCGTCCACGATAATCTCCACCGCGAGATTCACCAGACCCGTTTCTAGAAACTTCGAGACCATCTTGGGATTGTTCGAGATCATGTGGTAGATCGCTGTTAACGACGATTTCGTGGAGCTAACACAAAGAGCGTCTCGGATCAACTTCACAAACGCTTCCGCCACTCCATCCACCCCGGCTAACGTGACAACGTGCGTTTCGTCCGACGCGAGAAGCTCTTTTAACAAAAACGCGGCGTTTCGACGGACGGAGTCGTCCATGCTCCTCAAGAAACCCGCAAGGCAACGTAACGAAGCCGCAGACGTGATTTTAGTCTGACCCTCTGAACCAATCGGAAACATCCACGTCAGGACGGACAAGACCTCCTCAAGCAAAAACGCGTTTTCGCTACACACAAACGCGTCGAAGCAAACGCAGAGGGCCAACCCGACGCCGTTTTCCCTCAGACACTTCTTGTTCCTCTCGCTTTCCTTCCCCAAGTTCTTGATCTTCCCAACAACTTCCCCACATTTCTGGTGGTCCCCACGCCTCGCAGCTGCCAACAGCTTTCCGCAGATCTCGGAGGCATCTTGCGGCGTAACTGGGACACGTGGCGTCGGGATACGTTGTATCCCACTATTCGATCCCATCTCGACGCACCAATCTTGAATCACCTTGCGGATCGCGTGGTTGGGTATCTGTTCGAACGTTTTCAAGACCGTGTTCGTGACCGGACACGTCTTGTTGCCGGATTCGATCCACTTCTCGATGCTTTCCCGGTCGTAAGTGATCCCCGAAGCCATGATCACCGGATCTTTCATGAGATCGAACGAGATCGGACACCGAAACTGAGCCGGGATCATGATCTCGATCTCGGAATCGCACATCACGGGGATTATCTCCTTCTTGTTTCCCCCTCTTCGCCTTAATCTCAAAGGAAACACCATGTTTCCGGTTTTATGTCAAGAACTCGGTAAAGATTTATGTTCGGGTCTTGAGGCCAAGTGAGAGAGATGAGATAGGGTTCATTACATGTGTGTGAAAGCATGTATATTGGTCATACACTCCTCGAACGCGTTTGGTCAAAGTTATGATACGGGTGAAAGGACAAAAAAGAGAGATAATGAATTTGATTATTTGTGGGAAGGCTGGTGTCATTGGGTTTAGGCCGTTAGGGATTGGGAAAATTTGACCGTTGAATGTTTGAAGAAATGAACATTTTCAGTCCTTGAATATTAAAATAAACGACAGATAGATGGATAGATAGGTGAAGTGGACCGTTGATTTGGTTGGCTGGGTCAGGGGTCAACTTTAGTCGGTACATGGACTCACATTAATTTATGACGTTCTACAGTAATTAGCCATCCTAAAATTGTAACATTTTGTGTATTTGTAGCAAGGGTAGGCGTTTCGACTCGGTTCCGAAGAACCGAATCGTACCGAACCAAAAATTTTGATATTTTTTGTGAACTGTATTGGTCAAAAATTCTGAACGGTATGATTTTTATAGAACCAAATTTTTTGGAACTGAACCGAACTTTATAAAATTTCCGAAAAATCGAATTTTTTTTTTAAGAAAATCTTTTTTTTTTAAGAAAAACCGAAACCGAACCGAATCGAATAATATACGGTACTAATTTGATACAAATTTTAAAATACTGAATAATCCGTTTTCGAACTGAACCGTTAAAATTCCGACCCAAACCCCGAAATATCCACCCGTAATTTGTAGGGTGTAAAACGGGTTGCCTTCGTTCACACACACACTCTTATATATATATATATATATATATATATATGTGGCCCTGTACAAACAAATAATAATTATATATACTTTATTATTCAATTAATTTTAATATATATTAAGATTTTATTAAAAGTATATATTTTTTCAATCAACTTAAAATATAAAAATTAGTGTTATAATTATTATTTTTTGTGATAACATTATAAAATTATATATTTTTTTTTAAAATTATGATTAAATTTTTAAAAATTTAAATAGAATACAATTTTTTTAAAAAAGAAAAATGGGGCCCAAAATATTTGGGCCCTCCACTTGCATTGCACGTGAAAACTTTTCTATGTACGGAACGAGAGAGCACACCTTATTTCATGTTGGACCCAAAAGCCCAGCCCATATACGCCACGCGCGTGTGATAATTTGGGACAGTTATTTACGCGCGCGCGTGTGATAATTTAACAGACGAAATCTTTTATTGCTTGATAGTGGCCCCACTTTAACAATTCATATCTTCAAAGGGCATCAGATTAATCAAACAAAAAATAAAAAAATCCACGTGGAATATATTGAAATATGTAACAAAAGTACTTTAGTTTCGGCCTATCCAAGACAAAACTTTATTCCTTTGTCTTATAATCCTAGGTATTTAGACACATGTGCTTAGCCTTCCAAGATAAACTTTAATTCATATGATAATCTATACTTTGGATAGTATAATAAAAAATTTGGTTGTATATATACGAAATCCAAAATTTTTCGTCCATATCATTTATATTCCATGGAATATTGTAATGATAACTTGTAGTCATTTCAAGAACGCAAAAGATTTGGAGACTTAAGATTTGCATGTGAAGCTAAAAAGCACATAAAATAAATAGATAAACATATAAAAGTTCAAGAAAGCAAGCATTGGAATACGTATAGGCATATATATATATATATATATATATATATATGAGAATAATATTTAATATATGCACACATGAATATCAATCGAGTTAGAAAGAAAACAAGGGAACTAGTTGTCGTGGTCCTACATGGATATGCTCAATCTGCAGTTATCTTCTTTACTTCAACTTTGGACTGTGCGAGTCCTGTGAGCTGCTGATCTGAGGTCTCTCACCAGTGTTCCCAGACACTTATGTCTTTACGTGAATATATATCTTTATTTTTAAATGCACCTTTATAATATATTTTGGAAGTAAAATATTAAAAATATTTTTTTTTATATTTTAGCGTCCAATTTAAACTACTAAATTATTACGGGTATCTAAATAAACAATAAACTAATTTATGCTAAACGTTCAAATGGACTGTAAAGTTTGATCATATTTCCAAATAGATCATAAATGCGTAGCGTACTACATAAACAAAGAAGATTAAAATTTTAGATATTATTTTTAACAAAATTATTTAATTTGAAAATTTAAAATAAATCTATGGTTCATATGTAGTTAAATGTAAATTCGTAAGCTATTTAAAATTTAATATGATTTATTCAATCAACTATTCGTTATGATTCATAGTTATTTTGGTAGAGAAAATTCAACTGAGTTTAACTTGAAAAAAATATCACAATAAGTTATTTAATTTTTTAATCCTGTGTTTTCTATTTTCTAAGTGAATCAGACCGTCGCCATTCGCGAACAACTTCGACCGAGCCACGGACTGGCTCGCGAGTTAAAAAAAAGGGTCATTTCTTTAAAATTTATTATTTTTTCACTTTTTAATTGATTTTAATATTTTATTAATTTTTAAATCGACTCGATTGTAAATATAATTCAATCGGATTACATGAAATATGTATTTTTTTATAAGTTTAAAGAGGTGGGATGATAATAATTAATATAAAAAAAATGTTGAAATTATCTCAAAACAAAAGGAAACAGATTTGGTTTTGACTTACGCGTGATGTCCCACAGTTGTTGTGTTCCTCCTCCACTCCCCACTCTGCTCCTCGGCTTTACCATAATCATCAACCTGCATCTCTCTCTCTCTCTCTCTCTCTCTTCTTTTGCTGGTTCTTTATGGTTTTGGCCCTTTCATCCTCTCTCTTCACATTTTGAAGCTTTGATTTGATGTTACACCCCCAATTAATGGAGCCAACAAAAGAGGACCATAGCCTTCCTTCCTCCAAATCTTCGCTCCCAAAGCCAAGGACTGATCGTTTCATAAGGTCTGAATCTTCAAACACATCTTCGTTTTTTTTTTTTGTGTTTCGATTTTCTTCTCTTTTTTTTTTCATATATTATTGTCCATCGTCTTTGATTCTGGGCAATTCCGGAAATGGTTCTTTCTATATTGGTGCTGTCGGTGTATATTTGTCAATACTTTTTTGCTGTAAATATTATCTCAAACTGTTTTTTTTGTTTTTCGTTTCTTTTTCACTTTTCAGCTTACATATATCCATTTGTGTCCGATTTTCGTAACCAACGTTGAAAAAATGGAAATTAATCTAGAAATCCTGAAATTATATAAAATTTCTATAAGATAATTTGAACCATTAATATAGGTATGACTGACTAGCCCTAATGAGAAAATATAATTCAAATCAGATGATTGACTTGCAACCTCTATGTTAATTTGGGTGTTGATATAGGATACCCGATTATAAAAAAAAAATTCTAACGAAATAAAATTCTAACGAAATCATACTATATATCATGTGAATTACAGCTGCACGTAGAGAAAAAGTTAAAAAAAAAAAAGAAGTTTTTTTTTACATTTTATTTTTTTAATTTGAATTATTATTTTTGTAGAACATTAAGGATTCAAGTTTGTTGTCTGCGACTGACTGATGTTAATGTCAGTTGCTATATTTGGTACTCTTCTTATTTGTCCATACTGTCTGAATACTGTCGTACAGATTTGCCCCACTTTTTTTTTTATGTATTTTTAAAACCGTTAATAACTTCTGAACGAGATTAAAGTAATAATAGTTGATCATATCTGTTAGATAATCAAAGGGAAGGGGATAATATTGACCCAAAGATCTTTTGCAGGTGATAGTCTCTTGAATCAGATCCTCCAGGACAATAGGAACAGTAGAGCTCCAAAAACAATGGACGTGATCTTCCGACAGGGAATCACGATGAAACCGATAATCGACCTCGAAACCGAAGCTTCACCAGAAAACTATCTTTCAGACGCAAGTAGTCAAGCAGCTTCGAACTTGTCGCTTCAAAATTACAGATCGATCTTCAACTCACCAGACCAAGAAATTTCTCTGACTCTGAGTTTATGTTTCAACAACAACAACAACGTGACGAACCCAGATGAATCTTCGTCTCTGGGACTGCCATTATCGAGCTCGAGCGAAAACAGCAACAACACAACAGAACAACAACAACAACAACCGTCTTTTACAGAGAGAGTCTTCACCTGCAACTACTGCAAGAGAGATTTCTACAGCTACCAGGCTCTTGGAGGTCACCAGAACGCTCACAAACGCGAGAGAACGCTCATGAGACACACGATGCGGACCGGTCTAGGAATTCTTGATGCGGACAGCTACTCTGCCATCTCATGTCTTCCCCTGCACGGCGGCGGCGATGGCGGAAACAACGCAGCAGCTGCTGTCACGTCATTCAGGACTCTCGGGATCAAACCTCATTCGTTTTCTCACGGAGCACTGATCAGGCCTCAGGAGGGGATGATCCAGAACACGGGGAGGTTCGACAAGGGGTATTTCGGTAATTTCGTACCCTGCTCCCGGGAAGAGGATGAGGCCGAGTTGCTTTGGCCGGGGAGTTTCAGGCAAGAGGTTGCGGGTAACGGAAGGGAAGGTAAAGTGGGTTTCTTGGATGTCAAGCGATCGGAGGAGATGGAGAACACTCTGCCGGATCTAACTTTGAAGCTTTGAATGATATCTTTTTTTTTTCCTTTTAGTTTTGCTGTTGCAGCTCTATAACTCTCTTATGTATGGAAATGGGCATTGCATAAGTGGGAAACAAGAATATAGATGCTGTAAACTAGCTGTTAAAGAATATGTAAGCATTAAAGGTGATAGCTGGTGCTGTTGTAGATTAGCTTAAAAGGCTAGGTCTGGGCAGGGAAAAAAATGATATTTATTGAAAATTTGCATAAATTGTCAATGCAATAGGGATGGAAAACTCACCAGTCACCAGTAGTCCTTACATGAGCACATTCCACCGCTGAAATGGTGGAATCTTTTCGTGTCTCTGAGAACTATAACTCTCCCTGTAATCTGTGATACCATCTTCATCCACGAATGGCAATCCGGACAAACTCGGAGATTCTTAGTGACCCGAATCGGAGTACCCTCGCCCGTGCGAATCAGCGCATAGGTCGTAGCCAGCCTCTCGCTGTGGCCACAAACCCAATTCGCCTTTGTTTCTTCATCAACATCATGAAGCACTACACGTGTGTTTGGAACATAGCCAAGTTTTTCCATTGCTTCCGTTAGTTTTCTCCATACTTTCTTATACTCGACGGAATTTCTGAACTCGAATCCACCCCCGGAAACAAAAGTTTGGATCTTTCCTTTCACTTGTATCCAACTGCAACCGGCTTCTTTTCTAATCCCCTTTTGTTTCATCATGTCTCGGATCTTATCCACATTGTCCCACATCTTGGCATCTGCATATATGTTCGACAACATAACGTAGTTACCGGAATTACCGGGTTCAAGATCAAACAATTCCTTTGCCGCAAACTCTCCTACAGAGACATTCCCATGGAGCCTGCAAGAGTTGAGCAGTGATCCCCAAATAGACCCACTTGGCTTAAAGGGCATACATTCTATTACCTTGACCGCTTCATCGATTTTACCAGCTCTACCCAAAATATCAACTAAACAGGCATAGTGCTCCAAGCTAGGCGACATTCTGGATTCGGTTTTCATTTGGTCAAATAACTTTAGACCATATTCCAAGAGCCCTGCATCACTACACCCAGATAACAAGGCGATAAAGGTGATACCGTCAGGCGTAGCACCTGAATCTACCATCTGATCGAACATATATATCGCTTCTTCCATGTTTCCATTGGTAGCATAACAGTTGATCAATGTGTTCCATGAAGTCAAATCTTTAGTCGACATTCTGTCAAAGATTCTCCGAGAATAAGTAACCTCGCCACATCTCCCGTACATATCCATTAACGAGTTAAGCAATGGAACATCGGGTTTTCCTTTCGATTTCAAAATCTGTGCATGAATTTCTTTCCCCGTGGTAAGGGCAGCGACTCGTGAACAAACAGGTAATATAGTCGTGAGGGTCACCCAACTAAATCCAATTCTCTCTTCTTGCATCTTCCTGAACAGATTAAACATCTCACAGGTCCGGCCTTTCTCTGAAAGCATCCCAATCAACGAATTCCAAGAAACAATATTTCTCTGAGGCATTTCGTCGAACAGTTTGCCCGCGTCTTTCAAAGAACCACATTCCATGTATAACTTCAGAAGCGCATTTTTCACCACTTGATCAGCCTTCTCCCTCCATTTCACGATCTGGGCATGGATTCCTTTACCGACCCAGATATCTTTCAGATCCGCACACGCTTTCAACGCCATCGAAAACGCAAAATTCCCAGGTTCGACGAAATTGCGCACCATTTCAACATACACAAGCAACGCTTCTCGCGGTGAACCATTTCTGGAGTAGCCAATCGCCATCGCCACCCAAACTTCCTCTGCAACGCCGCCGCCGGAGAAATCGGCGAAGATTTGCCGAGCAAGATCCATTTCGCGGCAAACAGAGAACAGGGTGATGAGCTTGCTCTGTAGCTCTGAATCTTCACGGAGATTAGGGTTTCCGAGAACCAGGGAGCAGAGTTTTCGGCCATGGTGGAGAGATCGAGCGGAGATGCAGGCATGAAGGACGCTGGAGAAGGCCTTGGGATTGGAGAGATCGGACGGTGAGGATTTCTCGATCAAGCCGATAGCTTCGTTGAGTTTGCCGGATTTGCAGAGAGATGTAAGGGTTCTGTGGAGAGAGGGCTTAGGATTAGAAGGGGTGTTCAGACCGGAACATGTGACCGTTAAGTTAGTTGAGATCGGAGAACTTGTGTGTAAGACTGATAATATGGCGGGAATCATAACTGTTCAGCTTCTCCCAAGATCAGAGATTGGGTTCGGAATATCTGTGTGGACTTTGATTTGGGGATAGAAGTCGCCATTCAATATTATTTGGGTTAGTTTTTTTATTCGTTTTACTATTTAAGAAAACCAATATCTACACGGTTTTAAAATTATATTCGTAAAAGAAAATATTTTGGTTATTGGTGCAAAAAAAAAATATATACATAAAAACATGCCAAAATGATCATTCATCCCATTTTTCTTTTCCTAAAGGTTATGTTTTTTTGTTAAAACCTTAAAGGTTATGTTATCTAGTCCGATCCAATGCATTGATAATAAAATTTGAATAAAATACGTGGGTTTTATTAATTATACGAGTTTAATCGACTAACTTAAGACTCGAGTCCGAACCAAAATTTCAGATGTCTCCAACTCTCCATTGGGCATGCATATGATATCATATATTGATATCCGAAATTTGGATAACTAATCGGATCCATCCGACTTTCGGTGTTAGAGAAATAAAAGGGGGCTATATATATTATATTATTTTTTTCCTTATGATTCGAACGCATCATGTTAAATAATTCATAAATATGTGACTTTTGTCCTTTTGTGTTAAAATATGACTTTGACTTATTCGACGTTGCTAAAATAATTGAACCATTATTTTCAAGTCTTTGTTTAATAATTCATAAAAAAAGTCTTTGTTTAATATATAAGGGAAAAAACCTTAAAATATCAATGCATTTCTAGGTTTCACCTAATTGTGTAAGCCAATTTTTGTACATTTTCTCAAGGACATTATTGTCTTGCACTTCAAATTATTTATGTGGCATCCGATTATCTTAACTCAAATAATTCAATGAATAGTACATTTCAATTTACCTCAAACAATTCCTTGAAGATGTCGAAGTTTTTAGCAAGACTGGCATTTATCATTAAATGATATATATATCATTTGTCCGCAAAATGAAGTCTAGTAACCATAATTAATTTGTAAATAACAAATTTAAAATGCATCCTCATCTTCTTACAATATATTTTTTTTGGCAACTTGCACACGAATAGGCAAAGGAGGCAAGTACCTGAACCATGGGTGGTCTGTCTACAAATACAAGGTCTTCTTGGTTTTTACCCTAAAAAAAACACACACACAAATGTTAGGGTATGGAGCAATAGTGTGGTCTGTCTGTTTCTTCTTCTTAAGCCATACAGTGTCTGCGGCTGAAGCTGGAGAATGTCGGATAGAAACAAGGGCAGGAAGCAACCAAGACGGGGAGCAGCGGTTCTTTAGAGATCGTCCTCCGATCTCTTACTGCATGACGGTTAAGTCGTGTAGCACACTCCTGGCTACGCCGAAGGTGGATAAGGTCGAATCTCGTCCCTTCTCCGTTGGTGGATACAACTGGTACGGTCTCTTCTTTTAATGTTTTCTCCAATCATCCTTACTTGATTCAAGTAGCTTCAAACTTGTAACATATACATACATATATATATGTAGCTATGCTTATGAAATGTTCATGTATAGGACTTTTAGCATCAAACCGAACGGGTCCAATGACGGTGGTAACACGTGGATTTCGGCGTATGTTAGAATCGTCAATCAAACTAGCGACGTTTACGCAGATATCGCATTTACCGTATATAGCAAGGCTTACGATCAGTACTGGACTTCACTTGGTGAGCTTTCTAGTTCATCTGTTTGTAAAATCCACCCTCCAAGTCCAAATTATCTGTTGGTCACTTGCTGTATGCGTCTACATGTTGTCTAGATCCCAAGACGAGGCGGTTCAATACAATCAGGACGGAGTGGGGAAACGCAAAATTCATCAGCCATACCGATTTCAAAGACACGGATAAAGGGTACTTGTTCGATAGGGACGAGTGCGTGTTTGGTGTCGATGTCTTGGTTTCTCCGGTCTTTAAGGAGTGGGAGGTCTTATCCATCGACAAGAGATTCTTCAGCCCTTACTCGTGGAAGATCCCGAAATATTCGACCTCTACCGAAGAGTATCTCGACTCGCCTGAATTCCCAAACGCAGGAAGAAACTGGTGAGTCCATACACAGATGCACCAATTCAAAGGAACCATTCATTGTAAAAACATATATATATATATATATATATAAACACACACACACACGAGAGCGGTCTGATTTTCACTAACTTTCAGGTCCTTGAAACTGTATCCAACCGGAGCTTCGGAGGGAAAGGGCAATTCTCTGTCCCTTTTTCTTACGCTCGGTAACAACGAAACGCTACAGCCTTACGAAAGGATTTACGTTCAAGGCAAGCTGCGGGTTCTGAACAAAAATCCACACGGAGAACACGCAGAAAAGCAAAGTAATTAATCGGATATCTTTTCCTTTTTTTTTTTTGTATAACGTAATTAAAAACATGCCAATAATGTTAATTCGTCCCGATTTTCTTGCCTTTCTGTGGCAGTTAACGTCTGGTTTAATCGCCCGGGAGAAAGTTGGGGGCATCGAAAGTTCATGTCTTTGGCCGATGTCCGGAACGCATCCAAAGGGTACATTGTGGGAGATACGATCGAGGTCCAAGTCCAAGTCGAGGCTCTTTCGTCAACTCTTTACTATGGTTCGAGCAACGTTAATGCCCAGCTTGTGAGTTCTGCTTAGTTTTGTCTGCCAAGAAAACCCCGTCTCTATCTATGACGCAAGAGATAATCATTGTCTCCTAGCGAATGAGCGAATAAGACTCTCTTGGCCATCTTCTTGTTTTTGTTTTGTATTACGTATGATGCGACGCTTTGTATTTGTAAACTTTTTTTTTTTCTGGTTGCCCGTCCGGTATCTCGGTGTCTAGAGCTTTGTCCCGATCGATCCAGACTCGGCCCGGATCGCGCACCTGACTGTGGTGGGTGAATCTCCCAACAAAAATAAATGTAAACGCCTCGAGACCCGCTTAGATGAATCCGAGCGGCTTACCACTCGGACCAACCTCCGTTGGTATATTTGTAAACTTCTTTTATGGTCTAGTGTCAAGGCTTTTACCGAGTAGTTTTTCTATACAACATCATCATTTTCATTCATTTGGGTTTTGCGCCATATCTTCCGAGATTTGCAATACATCCAAATCATTTCTAATGACTCGTTTCCAAATAAGTTTAGACCGATCCTTTTGTGTCTTCACTTCCATCTTTATACTTTCTAATTTTCTAACAGGATCTACGTTATGGAATTTATTAATTACGTGGCCTGTTAAAATAAAGGCAGATGAGATGGCTGATTCATTACAACCGATAGGATTAGTTATAATGCAATAGAGAAAACAAAATTGTGGTCATTCGTGTAACATAGGTCAACAAATTCCAATTTCATACAGTTTCTACCGGTGTTCAACCCTACTGTAAAATGTAATTATTATATTTAAAATTTGTATTTAGAGGCAAGTGAATGGACCACGACAAAGCTATGAGAGTAGATTTTTTTTTTCATTTAGTTAATAAAAAAATATTCATTTAATTTTTGTAACTTCCCATTTGTTTACCGTCACCAAATTCTTCAAGATTTATTATTTAGTTTTTATTCATAATAAGATCCGTATCATGATATTTTCGTTAAAATCTTGTTTTTTTCCCCCTTTGTCTCGTTAAATATATGTGAGTTTTTCTAAAATCTTTCACCCACTTTTATACATTGTTTATTTAAAATATATTTGTAATATGTTATTTTTGTAGGTTTCCTCCGTACATTTGTCATGTATGTTGTAAGATGACATTCCACTCAAACTTGCAATAGCCCATTATGACCCTATTATTAGCCACACTATATGTCAATGTGGGTCCGTTATGAGGCCTGGTTCGAGAAGCGTAATTGCTCCAATTTCGATCATATTTAACCGGATCAATTACCGGTTCGTAGGAGACTATTCTCGAATTCGAAACCGGTATAACCGTACAAATATCCACCAAAGGTCCTCGGTTAATTATGTCCATTTGAGAAAATTTATCACAGAGGAACCGTATATATGATCAAAGTGAGACCAAATATATCTGTCAATGCATGAAATTGAGAAAAAAATATCCTAACTTTAACCGAAAAAATATTCCCAAATTCTAAACCGATAACCGTACCTAGAATCACGAGAAAACCGGACCAAGCCCACAGTCTCAAGTAATGGAACAGTGCGGCTGGCTATTCATGATTACTAGGCGTAGCCTAAATTTTGGACGTAGCCCACTGATTTCGGGCTTTGTCATATAAATTACAATATCAAAATCTCTTCTATTTAATCATTTATATTCTTATCTTTAAATATAAATTAATTGGCTATGATTTTGACTTAAAAAACAAATAAAAAATATTACAAAGAATCAAAGAGGAGATAGAGAGGGGGAAATGTATTAAAGAGGCGAAGCGAGATATGGAAAAAAGTTTATTTATATTTTATAATTTTTAAAATTAAGATATTTTAGATTATAAATAAAAAAATAAATGTATGTAAGATAATTTTAAATAAATATATATTACATGAAAAAAATTTGCAAAAGATTTTTTTTTACATTTATGCTAATTTCATCTTTGCGAAATTTATCATGAAGTTTATTGAACTTTGCCTTTTTTTTTTACCCGCAGCATATTTTTCTCATTTTTGGATTTTTAAAAAAACCAAAATATAAAAAAGATCCGATAGAAAACTCGAACGACAAAGCGGAAATGAAAAAACCCTAGTAGAGTAAAGCCACGCATATCAATCTCTCTGTTTTCTCTAGATCCCTTTTCGGTTACGACCGTTCACATCGTGAATTTAATCCCCTGGGCGGGTTATTGTCTCTTTCTCGAGCCGTTGTTTCGTGTTCTTCGGCTGAAATCACTGGATTCAGCGATTCCTGGTATGGGTTCTTCGCCTCCTTCGACTGGGTCTTTCCCCGCAAATTCTCGCGCTCTGATAAATTTTAGATTTTTTCAGTTGAATTCGCGCCTATATCTTAGATGGGTCGATATCTTTTGCTTGAAAGACAATTGCTTTCTCGTGGGTGGGTTTCTGTTTGATCGATTCGTGTCCGTCTCGTAGGGTTTCTTGGTTGTCCATTTGGGAAATATCTAATTTGGTCGATTTTCTATATGATTGGTATTTCGAATCTATGGGCTTTTGTTGTGAATTGATAATAAGATTCGGTCTGATAACAATTTCTAGTTTTTGTTCAAGAAGTATTTTTTGATTTTGGTGGGTTTAGGATTCATTTGAAACATGACAGCGTTTTCTTTTGTTGTGAATTGATAATAAGATTCGGTCTTATAAATAAGGTGATCATTATTTGAATGCCAAGCATAAGTGTTCTGCTGCATGTCCATAGATAGACTTCCAGAAAAAAAAGGATGATGAAAGATTTAAATTGAAGTATAACCATTGAAGATAGCTGGAAAATGTATATTGAATTTTACATGTATGCAGGTGTGTGCAGGTGTTCATTTGGATTCGTACAGCAACCAGTAAATTTTTGCAAGAGATATGGATGACTGGGGTAAGGCTTGTTCTTTGTCTCTCTTGTGCATGTTGTATATGTTTCTGCAAAGACTTTAATTTTGTGTAACACTAGTATTCAAGCCATGTTTTTTTAAATATGATGGGTTTTCTCCACTTCATTGGATTGCTTCAAATATGTAATTTTGTTGGATATTTGTTGCTTAAAGTTTTTTTTTTTTCCGATTTCAGAAGATGAGAAAATCCCACCAATTGCTGTGAAAGCTGAACCTAAAAATAGTTGGGATGACGAGGATGTGGACGAGTCGGATATCAAGGAATCGTGGGAGGATGAAGATGAACCCGCTCCGGTATAAAGCTTATTTCATTCAGAAACTCATTCACTTTTTTTGCATGTCTGCTCCATTCAACTTTGAGCTTCCAGTAGGATCTTATAATGATTTGTTTGTTCATCGACCTTTCTTTAAGGCTTCACCTCCATCTTATTTTCTTGCACAATTATCATTTTTTGTTGGGTGTAGCCACCTGTTGTAAAGGCTGCTCCCGAGAAGGCTCCCAAGAAAGCAGCAGCTAAAGGGACCGACAAGAAGGGTAAAGAAGCTGAAGCTCCAAAAGAGGAACAGTTAGATCCTCTTGCCGAGAAACTACGCCAGCAAAGGTAATCTTCATCTCCTCATTGTCTTTGTTTGGGGGTTGGATTGATATAAGCAAGAACATACGAGTGGACAAGAAGTATACTGCAAATGCTTATAAAGGCATGCACATTCTTATCTTTTTCCTTCTTCCTATCATAGGCTCGTAGAAGAAGCTGATTACCGATCAACTGCTGAACTGTTTGGAAAGAAGGATGAAGAGAAAGACCTTGATACCTTCATTCCCAAGTCGGAAAGCGACTTCTTGGAATATGCTGAGTTGCTTTCACATAAACTTCGAGCGTTTGAGGTATGCTGTAGTCTTTTCTTTCTGGTTATTATTTTGAGGTATATCAATAAAACAACCTTTGGCATGTCAAATGTATTTTTGTGATGCAGAAAAGTTATCACTATGTCGGGTTACTCAAGGCAGTGATGAGACTGTCACTGACCAACGTGAAAGCGGCAGACGTCAAGGATGTTGCTTCATCCGTCACAGCAATAGCGAACGAGAAACTAAAAGCCGAGAAAGAAGCTGCCGGTAAAAAGAAGACAGGTATCAAATCTATACGGAGTCACTTTTCCACCCTTCATCGGTTCTTTGCCCTTGAATTACATTTATCATCCGTACGAAATCCATTCTTACCGCATCTGTTTTACCCGTTTTCGAATATCTTTTGGTGACTCTTGTGCCTTTGAGAATCTGATAGATCGGCTAATGTTGAAATGGTTTCAGGTGGGAAGAAGAAACAGTTGCATGTGGACAAACCCGACGAAGATGTAGTCGTTGATCCTTACGAC